AACTGCCAGGACACAAAATCCAAGAAATCCCAGAACGCATTATTGACCCCTGTTACACAGGCCAGTTGAAATGCTTCGTTACGAAGCAATTTGACAAAAAGCTTCGTAACGAAGCAATTTTGGGCCAGTGTAACACCTCCGCCTTCGTTGGAAAAGCTTAGTTGATAACGAAGCAATTGAGTAGAAAATTCAACGAAGGTTAGGTCCCAACGAAGCTTTTTTGGCCTGTGTAACAGGTAGCTTCGTTAGAAAATGCTTAGTTGGCGGTTTGCGCATGCGCGTAATAAAGAGCACATTCATCATTTTGTATTAAATGAGAGGAATCGCGAGGAAAGAACATGTTTTTAAGTACGTATTATTATAATGCTACGTTTTGATTAAAATAATTACCTATTTGCGTCACTGATTGACGCTAACTCAAGCCCTAAACGCCACGTACAAATGTGATTTACCGTCTTTCGTAGCATTTCATTCGATTCCCTGCCTTTCCTCGCATTGATATGACAAAAAGTATTAAATCTAAAAAACGCAGGTTTTACAATACGGTAGTTTTGAAACGTTTATCTGACCTATTAGAGAATAAACCTAGAATATTTAAATGTCCCTCTTTCGGCAAACTCCGTCTCAAGTGTGGAAGGGTAAACTTTTGAAATTACATAAGATATGCTTACTAAATAGAAAGTTGTGGCATACATGTTTAATATTAATTTTTTCTTGCGCCTCGAATAATTATACCTTGAATGTAGTTCTAAAGCCCGTGTTCTAAAGGTGTTAATACCATGATACTGATACAATTGCTTCCCGGTGAATCACATCAGGGAATATAGCCGATTTGATTGATTCGAAAATGTCTCTCTTCAGAAATCGTATTCAACTGGCTATCGCCCCATTCTGCCATTGCAATACATGTACTTGCACTAGATAGTCGTTCCATTATTTTATTCTTCGACGATTTTAAATTGTAATTGAATATAAACTTCATGTTAAATATATTGAATTAATTACGTTTCAAAACTTCCGTAAAACTTCCGTAAAACCTGCGGACAAGGAACGGTGGCCAAAACTGTTTCTTGTCGACAGATATTTGCCACAGAGAGGCTGCATGTTTTAGGCCAGCCCCAAACACTATTGATGTGTCGTAAGACGATGCTTACAACTGATATTCAAGTTTCTTCCTATTTGCGCCATTTTCGAATTCAACGGACGGCTTATGGATTAACATACTAATTTATGTCAAACTCACTCAAATATGCATGCAGTATTGGCGAGACGGGTAATATTCATATTAAAATGAATTGGTCATGAAATAGTAGTTACACGCGGTCTTAACTTCGACCGTTAATTTGAATTTTTGACCTACCGGATGTTTGAAAATCAAGGATTACGAGTCTCATACTGCACCGTTTTTCTTCAAACTTGTTCCATTCAAAGCATAACAAAAATCCCTTTCTGATGGTACATTATTCTCTAAACAGAGTCCCTACTTCCAGCGGCATTTTGGTCCCCAGCTGTAAGAAGGCCTTCTAACAACTGGGGACCAAAACGCTGCTAGAATGAGGGACTCTTTACAATAAAGTAATGCACCGACAGAAAGGCAATTTTGTTTTGCTTTTAATGGTATAGGTTTGAAGAAAAACGGTGCAGTATGAGACTCGCAATCCTTGATTTTCACATCTGGTAGGTCGAAAATTCAAATTAACGATCGAAGTTAGGACCGCGTGAGTTAAACCACCAGCCGAACACCGAGATATTTTAGTAATGGCTACACTATTTGAAATATAACTGAGAAGTCTATTCGGAAATTGAACATTTTTATACGATATTACATACTAGTCGTCTGAATAAACCCCAAATCCAATTCCTCCTAGTAATTAACATAGGCCTATTTTTATTCCACATGTTTTCCAAAGGAAATGATAGAAAATGAAAACAATACTTGTAATCGTATTGACAGCTGAAATATATAAAAATCGAAATGATAGGGAAAATGTATGGACAAGTGTACGGAATGATCACATTCATCTTGTTTTATTTTCCCGAGAATTTTGAACTAGTCTTTTTCTGTGCTGATTTGTTAAAATAAAGATTAAAAATTAGATTTTTGAGTTTGATCAATGGTTTATATTAAGTGGGTGGGGCAGATGAGTAATGCGCACGCGCAACGAAGCATTTTAAGTGCAGTGTAACACCAAATAATTGCTTCGTTAGGGTTGGATAAAGCCAGTGTGGACACAATTGTTTCGCTAACCTTCGTTACAAAAATGCTTCGTTAGACTCAACCCAGCAGTGTAACAGGTACCATTAAAACATTGAAGATAAGGCGACTGGACTTAAGCCAGTACCAGGTACCTTTCGAATCAATGCTGTGAGAGGGGTTTCCGATAATATTGTTGAAACGCGAGAATTATCGTGCTATTGTGAAGAATGCAGAACAGATACGTCATCCTCACCCTGTGGTTGGCAAAGGAACAACCTTATAACCATTAGGAAGACCCAGCAGGCAGCTAAGGTGGGCACCGAGCAACCATCTTTAAAACCAAAACGGAGCACACCCGACACCCAGTACGTCAAGTAAAGCATCGACGCCCTCCGACGTTTCCACTCTTTCAACCACATTGAAGCGTCGGCCTTTAGTAACCCCATCTACAAGTTCAAAAAGCGAGGAAAAAAGGAAAGGCCCGATAAAAAGAACAGACACTGTAAATATTTGCAAGGCATGCGGTGTCAACTATTATTCGTATTTACAATCGCAGTTCGAATGGATCAAGTGCTCTAAATGTCCCGACTGGTTTCATGATTCCGGGAAATGTTCTCGTGCAAAGGGGATACTCATTGGAGAAATATTTCCATGCATTAATTGCAATAAAAGACCTTAAATGTGTAAATTATGTAAACGTTATTGTTTAAAAACCTAAGCGACCATCAGCGACACTGTTAAATAACACTTAATATCACAAGGAGGAGAGATTGACCTATTCGTAACAATGTTGTATTTTGATGTAAGAAGACATATGTGTCTAATTTGTACATTCATTTTGTCGATCGACGAATTGACTTGGCATTTTATTTAGCTTAGAAAACAAAATCTTGAAATTAATTATCTTTAGGGAAACTCAAAACAATGTATTTCAATGGTTATCTTAATAAAATTCTCTTGTTAAGATAAACAACAACTATTGCAATTTATTTTTGTTCATGTGATTGAATAATTCAAACTTAATACATTAGTTTATCTTTAAACTCAAAATTAATTTTGAAACATGAATCAATGTAAGCCTATGTATGCACCATCATCGACACCAGCAATTTAAGAGTATATTTATGTTTTGATGCACAATCAAGTAATTGTTTAAAGGGTAATAAAAATATTTTGAGAAACACTTCTTTAACCCCATGGCTAATGGTATATGCATTTATATCTCAATCTAAAATTTCATTTTTTCAACTTTTACATTGATCAAATGTGAAAGAGATTCGTGGCTTGACTGATAATCTCATTGGTTATGTTGTAGGTCTATTATACAGCCGTATAAAAATGACAACAGAATACAAATGATATCAAAATTATCTTTTGACGATATTTTGATTGAGGAAGCAATGTCTGATACTGTCTTTCTACCATTATCGAATTCCTCAATACGGCATTTAATGAAAATTCTAACTAATATACTAGCACGGTGCACGTGCTCGACGTGGAAATACGAAAATGCGATGGATCGCATCACTCCCCCCCCCCTATAACCAGTTAAAACCACTAGATAGAAGAAGAAAAGAGCTTGAAAATGCTTTTTATTTGAAGCTTCTAGCTCAATTTTGAAGGAAGTTGCATCATTTTTGGTAAAATTCAAAACAAATCTTTTTCTTGGATCGCACCCCCCCCCCCCAACCCCTGACTGTTCGTTTTACATTCATGACATCCATACGAAATTGTAGCGTAATAAGATAATAAATAGATAATGGGGGCCACGATTATTTCAATAACTGTGTACACATCGTGTTTCATAACAATAATTAGGCAATCAAAAAACAATTTTTAATATTTTTCAATTTATTGCACATATTTTACATAAGTGTGCTTACTTAAGAACGATCTACAATCGATTTTAATGATACATGGATTACGTAAATGACGTGACGTCAAATACGTAAAACTGGTCAATCGCTATTACATATTGTAAATACACTCCCCTCCATAAATTTGGCAATCGGAAATTTACATTGGTTAGCATATCAGCGTTTGGCAATATTTGAATTTGGATTTTGATATGTAACTGATTACAATAATTTGAATATTTACGACAAATGATTTTAAAGTATGTCCATTGATGATCCAAAAGCGGAGTCTCAGTTGTCAAACTTATTTAGGGAAGCGTAGATCTGGTTCACGTTAGACACGATACACGTGTAAATAAACGTCTTCTGACTATAATTTAAATAAGGACATCTGATTGATGTATTTAAGAATGTAATTTATCATAAATATCTCTATTAAAATAATAGTTTGTTTGATGTAGTTGTTGTTGTTGCTATAAATTATGACATAGTGAGTATCATTATCAAGTTTGCAACATAACATGTGACCAGCTTGTGTAACTACTCACAATGTTATGAAAGATCAGGTGGTATTCAGTGATCATGATTATCCCGGGAATTTTCAATGTATTTCAATTTCGAATTTGTTTCGTTCACTGTAGATGAAAATGATGATAATAAAACATTCTTGTATACCTTTAGCACATGGTATGTACCATCTTCACCACAAAAGAATGAAATATTTGTACAATAAAAAATCTGCATTTCTGTATTTATACATGTACATATTGAGGTCATTTGATTGATACCCTTTCAACCTTACAAGTGATTTTTCATTCTTTAAAAGAGAGCCTGTACACTCCTCAAAGAAAAGATCATCATTAGATCTAGTCGAACCAAATTAGATTAGCTCGTCAAAGTTCGACTAATCTTGATCTACTAAAACAGAATTACAGTCAAAGACTTAACACGCCTTTAAAAGTAGGCACTCAAAACTGTTACTATTCAGAGACTAGTTATAATTCCTTCGGACTATTCTTAAAATCGTCTGTATTAGTATTAGCCTATCCGTATTACAAAATCTGCGCCTCGAGTAAGGTAAGGCTCGTCTTATATCAGTAATTTAGTCTCTAATTGTGCTAAGACATCGCCCTTAACGTACTAGTATTGGATTGTTGGTCACTTTGATTTTCGCTTATAAAATTAAGCACCTTCGGAAAAGTTCGGTAAAGTTCGTAAAATAACGGAGTTGGCCGATCTTCTGGTGGAATGCCGATCCAGTTCCGAATGACTCTTCGGAATTTAGTATTACTGTTTGCGTATAGGAATGGATTGATCCCACTGTTTAACCATTGTAGCCATTGTGCAATATGTAGTATTTTGATATATTTTGGAATGGCACCATGGTGATAAGCATTTATAATGGAGCAGACGACCTTAGGCACCCAGCACATTATGAATACGCAAACTAAAAGGCCGAGCAATCTTGCCGCCTTTTTATCCTGTTTGGTCAGGATGCTTTTCACAATATCATCACTGTTATTGGTGGTGCTATTGGTCGAATTATTACTGCTCACACTGAATCTACGACTGTATCTATTTTGTCTTTTATCCTCGATTCCACTCACCACACCCGCGTCGAATGACACCCGCCTCGGGCTGTAGCGTCGACTGTACCGACACAAATCCCCGGGGGTCGAACTGTTGCGCACAAGCATGACGTATTTCGCTTTCGTGCAGTCCTTTCCTCTGTCATTTTCAGAGGTTTTTGTCCGGGATGTTCCTATAGCCTCTTCACTGTCTGAGGTATCCGTATCAGCAGATGATTTACGTGAAACAAAACTGTAATATGTATCGGATGTGCTCACACTTCGTCTCAATTTTTTATCTTTCCGATGGCTCACTTTAAGATAAATCGATAAATTACAAAGCGCTAGTATAATCAACGGAATTAGGAACGTAACGCTTGATAGAGATAAAGTCGTGGAGAGATCTCCCGAATAAGGCACCAGGCAGCTCCTTGTGAGACTAAAAACTTGAGCGATCTTTTCCCCGTGGACCACATGCCACGAATACATAGGAGGTACGTAGATAAAGGAGCCTAAGACCCAGGAAAATACGATGAGCGCTATTGCCCTGGTCTTAGTCTGCCTAACCCTGTACTGGAAAGGACGATGGACGCACCACCAACGGTCCAAGCTTATCAGAAGAATGTTCAACATTGAAGTATTGCTCAAGGCATTCTCCACGAGCAACATAGCTTGACATGTCTCTGCAGACCAGATCCATTGTCCATATATCATTTCGAACATTCTCAATGGGAGGATACATCCAATCAGCGCATCCACTGAAGCGAGACTCATGATGAAACTGTTGCTCACTTTTCTAAGGCTCCTATTTGATATGAACGCCACTAGGACGATACAATTGCCGAATACTGTTATCATAGCAATTGATAAAATCGCTATTATTATCAGCCACATGTGCAAAAATTCATATTGGACCCTAAATGTTGCGCCTCCAGCAGTTTTCATTAATGTTGTAACATTAGCCACCATCCTTGCATTAGTTAGCGCCGTGGCATTAGCCATCATACTGGCACCGTTGAATGTTGTGGCATTAGCCACATTGTCTCCACTGTTAACAATCATGCTTTTATTGAGTTGTATTTTCATAGTTCCTGCAACTGCATATTAATTAATTAAACGTAATTAAAACTCAATTACAACTCCACGGGTACCGCTGCTTTTTAAGAATACTCCATCCATATTATCAATGTTTTTTGTTCACTCCCGTAACTCAGTTCAAGTACGACTGATTAATCGCCGTTTTATAGTTTCATTCATTTGAGAAATTCCAGCATCTATTAATCTACATTTCGACTGCTTGCATTCCAAGAGTTTCGATTTCCGACACTTAGGTCCGGCTGATATTCCAAATTTAAAAGTGCTAGTTTACCTTAGAAACAAAACCCAAGGTAAAACGTGATTAGATCCTTCAGTTTATCGTTAGTGTAACATTTTCCGAGTGTGTTTATTTTTCCTCGGCATATATTTCCCCAACGATATTCCCAGTGCGTATCTTAATATCTGAAATATGTTACATTTTTCTGAAAATATCAGGTGCTCTCTGTTGAATATATTGACAGATATGTGTTTCGATCTTGAGGTATACGAGTTCCGTTAGACGTGAAAATCCTTTTTAGTCTGTCGATTTTTAAGACATAAGCGATCTAGCGGCGATCCACTGGGAGTTATTCTAATAAAGGCGCTGAGTTATCGCTTTAAGATGTTACCCTTTAGTCGCTTTATTCATCAGTTCCGTAAACGTTAACTCTTGCTTTAGCTCTGTAAACGTCGGAAGAACATGTTCACTGATTCAATCAAAAATGGGTAAACAATGACCATAACTGATTCTAATAATGGCACACGTCCAGTCGTATTCTCTTGCCATGTCAAACTGCTGAATAACAAGATGTGCTAGGCATCCTAATTGTATTATCTCTTCCAAATTACCCCGTTTCGCTGCACAACATTCGATATGTTACAACTAATAGGTTTGTTTATCTGCGTTAACCTCGTAGATGAACGCTGGATTCTTGGAAAATATTTTCATATCCAAATTGGCGTGTTTGTACAGACGAATCAAATTGTTTTGATTACCATTTACTTTTTCAATGTTTGTTGAGTTGCATACCTAGCTCCGCTTTGCGATTTCGTTCTGTGATTGCTTAAGCAGGTCTGCCTAGTATTAGTAAGACAGGCTCGAGCGGTAAACTAATAACAAAACGAGACAAGGCATCTTATATATAGAGGCGATCACGAAGGCGAGAGTTCTAATATGACTAATCGAACGTGTGTAAAGTACGGTTTTGCATCTTAGACATTTCAAGCCAAGGGCTGTTCTATGTTATACATTAGTAGGGAGGTTAAACTTGTATTCGCGAATGCAACTTTCGGCTGACGGCTATCGGATAAACTCACCATTTTATGAGCAACTCATTAAATATGAATAGTAACTTACATTATTCCATTCATATTTAAATGACTTGGTCAAAGTGGATTAATTCGGTAGCCGACAGCTGGAAGTTGCATTCACGAATACAAGCTCGTGAGAAAACGTAAACGTGAAGGTCAAAGACAAAAGGTGTTAAATAGGTTCACTGGAAAACTTATTGAGAGAGAGGAGACGGTAACCCATGAGAATCATTAAATTGCATAATAGATGAATCTACCTTTAGAAGAAGCAAGAGAAAAAGCAAAAAGCAAAAAAATCAAAATATCCGAACAGGGAACTCTTTGGCCTTTGAGTCCGTGACTATGACAGTCAAGCCCAGAGCAAGATAGAAACAAAAAAAATATTAAAAAGAAGCGGGAAAGACAAAATGTTTGAAGCAATCGTTGCAAAAATATACCGGCCTATGTTTCTCCTACAGTCTTTATTCACACGCCTAACCTAACGTACGGCGTCAAAACACTTTACTGATTTTAAAGAAGAAATGAGGAGAATTGTATACGACCATAGGCAGACGACTACAAATTTAAGAGTGATGAGTTTTGAACGATTGCCTTGATCCCCGCCTCGATCTTATTCGGCAATAAGACAAAAAGTCTACCCTTGGCATTCGTTTCATCCTTGCTGCAAGGGTATTTTACAAGTATATAGAATTTGAGCATAAATGAAGTCCTTTGAAGAAGGATGATTCGTTTGACTTCACTCCTTAAAAGAGAGCTTCGTCTCCACTCTTTCAGTTTACAATAAATCTCTGATCTCACCGAGCCAATCAGAGTTCGTCGTCGAAATACGGACGACTTTCTGACATCACCGCATAGTTAATGGGCACGTATTAATCGCTGATTGTTTGAGAAAGGGTCAGCGTGGTAGATTTGAAATGATTTATTACCTGGACTCTCACAGGTACCAATCTTCGGGACAGGGCTGCTAAACTGTAATATATTGTCTATATATTATGCAGAGGGTAGTTTATAACTAGACTGCTCGCAGGGTACAAAAACTGAAGATAGAGATTCTCAACTGAATATATGGAGATGGTGAAATAAATCTTAAAAGCAATCAGTTTGATTAAAACATTGCTGCACGTGGTTGTATGTCACGTAAACGTCATTGGATTAATTCAACCCTGTTGATAGGTTGACCATGTAGAGAACCCTTGTCAGAACTGACCGTTTATTAAAAATCGACGGGGAACCATGGGAACCGGTCTTTCTTGGGGAAACCCTAGAGATGACCTCAACGTTAATGGATCTCTGTAGATAAGGCCGTCAGCTCTGAGCAAATAACATAAGAGCGAACGGAAACAAAATGGCGCATTCAAAATTTTTGAGGATTAGCTCCCAGAATGAAATTTCGATATTCTTGCCATATATGGTGCTATGACCTTGACATAATTATCAGGTAGTCATGTTGTGATATCAGAATTCAAAATCAAAACGTCCGCAATTATTCACTTCATAATTTGAATTGCGAGTTTTGGATCGCTGAATATGAATTTAAAGTAAGTTATGATATCAGAAAATAACGACATTTTCACTGTTGGCATCCATCAAGGTCAAGGTCGAATATCCAGTTGAGATCCTGGGAGCCAATCCTCCTTGTAAAATGTTTAATTAAAATGATGAAATATTAATCTTTGACTTGTTTAACAATATTTAACTTGTTATTTCACGTCAAGATAAAGAAATATGTAATGAATAAACATCGATTATATATCGATTAAAACATCACATCAACGTCATGTGACATTTAGAAACGAATAGTGAGAATTTTTTTGACAAACGAAGGTGGTCAAGAGAGACCGTAATTATGCGGCCATCTCTGAACGCTGGGGATTTTCCTCCCCTTAGAGCTTAGTCTGTGCATGCAATATAAACAAAGAATGTCCAAAGTTGAGGTAAAAACCTTGTCTTTGTTGTATCTCCTAACGTCATTTCAAACAAATGAATACCTTTGCCATTGACACGTATTGCGCAATTATATAAAAAAACAAATATCCGCTTTACTTCAACTTTATTTCACGCTATTACTTATAATAATTTTTGCATCTTTGACGTAATATCACACCTGTATGTCATTGTCATAAAATGATCCTCTACGATAGGTAATTTTAGTAATAGGACACCGTGATGTAAAAGGTCATTTTATTAAGGTATCAGGGGAGCTTAGGCTACTTATAATTCTTTTACGAAGAGGTTTCTATACGCGTAAAATAGGTTAATCTGTCAATCTGTGTTAGAGATATTACACTGTGGAAACCTTTCCTTAGAGCAAGACGAGTGAAGTTGGCGTCGCTCGAACCTGTCGATATTTTAAAAATGTTGACAACGGTTTCAATTTAATTCAGCTTTATTTTCTACATAGTATTATTTACAAGGTTTTACGTTTGCCTAGATATTTTCACGAGTATTTTGCATGGAATTTGAAAATATCTCAAACGTTGACGCAATTTTTTACGCAACCGTTTGAAAAAATTACATTTCTTTAAACCATTTTTACAAAAAACAGAATATAGGTCAGCATTTAACTGGAAATGTCTTACACACTCCTAAGCACGAAATTAATGTATTATCTACATTAATAATGTCAAGTAGAATAAAAAGAAAAGTAAATAATCGTTATTCAAATATTTTGTCGCGCTTACAGTGAGATCGGCATGACCTGCTATTGGAATGAACGTTGGTTTCTCACCCTAATTGTTATTCATTTCGTAAATTATTCCACAATACCAAGATTATCTTAAAAAATTGGAAAATAAATAATCTTCTCTTAGATGCAGTCCCATTTGCTCTACGACGGCCGTAGCTTCACAAAATCGATACAGTACATCGTATTGCTTATCCCTACATTTTATGCTGTATTTTTCTCTCGATTTTGGAAAGCTATGACCGCCGTACAGTTGCCGTAGATCAAGTATGACTGGGGCATTACGATTTGGTAGCAAGTCATTGTTCGTCAAAAAGGAGTCAATGGTCTTCCAGGAATCGTAATTTACTATCGTGCCAAAAAACGAACCCCCTGGCAGGCCCGTCCGAAGGATTTCCCCATCTTAAAAAATGAGGGAAAAAAGCCCCCCCCCCTTCGGACGGGCTTGACCCTATACTAGAGCCGTTTATTAGATATCGGGATGTGACAAGACAAGAGAAATGCCTTGATGCGTTAATCGCCTTGCCTTGTTTATAAAGATAACGAGTTAGAAGACTATCGTTTTCTTCGCTAAAATCAATGCCTGACCTTGTTAAGGAACACTGATTATGTAGACACTGCCATAGGGAATGAAATAGACATTCATTTTAAGGTCGAGCATGAAGACAGTAATATTGATTTTTGGACTATGCGAGACTTTCTCAAGTCACTACTTGTTAAGCATCGGATTCCGGAGATATATTAATAAAGCTCAATGTTAAATGTACATGTATGACAGCAAATTTGACGTGATGAATGTGTTACATTACCTCGCACCATCCTCCATCAAACGGTTTCATTGCTAATTCAATTCAGCCCTTCATTCATAACCCGATTCCTTCATTTCAGGGGTGATATATAAGCTAAAGTGGAATCAAAAATGCTTTCTCCGATAACAATATCTGAATTCAAAGGGCATGTTTCGTTTTGTCCTCCTATGCGGCCTTATGGAGATACTAAATTTAATTGTGAAC